GGGGGGGAGGAGGCAGAGCGGCTCGGAGTAACCTCGACAATCTCCAGTATGGCGGCGCGACGGATGGCGGCCGGGTCGTGAGCTCGACCGGAGAGGCGGAAGGTGGTGAGGTCCGCACGGGAATGCGTCAGGGGGTGAAGGCGCTCAATCCAAACGCTAGTACCAAGGATGTGCTCCGCCGTCGTGAGATGCCAGGCGTTAGCGGGGATGCCGCGGAGCTCGAGCTCAACGCGGTATTCAAACCCGCCGGAGCCGGCATGGGCAAGCTTGCACCATGGGCGTAACGACAAGGAGAAGCGCGAGCTGCGGATGTAGTGGTCACCGTTCATGCGGTCCTTGGAGGCACGAGAGCCGAAGATGATGAGGAAATCCTCAGGCTTGTGCAGGTGGGTGGTGAAGTCTCCGTCTTCAAAGCCGAACATGGAGCACAGGAGCTGGGCAACATCGTCGGCGGTCACTTGGGGCCGCGTTCCCATGATGGTGGCCACCATCACACGGCTCAGCACCTCCTCAACCTCCTCCATCTCGACGGAGCGCGACATGATGATGCGCGCTGGTTCAGCCATGTTCACAGGCATTGCCGGAGTTGGAGGTGGGGAGCGTTGTGCTTCGCGGGGAGCGGCGTACACGGCTGCAGCGGGCGGGGCGCGGCCGGCGCGCCGGTGGAACTCGTCGCATCCACGGGATTCGTGGCCAGAGACCAAACATCGCCTGCACCGAATGTCATTGGTGCAATCGCGGACGCGATGGCGGTGGTCGAGGCACCGGAAGCAGAGCCCGGCGACCTCCTTCGAGGAGGGGCTGCGCGGGCGCCGCGATGGAGGGGGGGCCGGCAGCGGCGAGCGGCGAGGTTGGGGACGGTTCCGCCTGCGCGGCTGCCGGAAGCCATCAGCGTCAACCGTGGCGCCGCCGGAGACGCGATGTATCTCCGAGCGGGGGCCGAGGCGAGCAGAGGCGGGCAGCTGTGGAGCCGCCGTCGCAGTCACGGGGGCCGCGCCGGAGGTGGAGTGCGGGCCACCTCGCTGTAGGAGCGCGTGGAGGCCGAGCTCTCAGAGCCAGACCAGCGGTCATCGCCGGAGGAGACCCGGTCTCCGGGGAGGGAGTGGGAGGGGGAGGGCGGCGCCATGGGCGGGAGGGAGAGGGGGAGGGCTAGCGAGGAGGGCTACCGGCAGGGAGTCGACGGCGGCGGGGCTGGGGAGGGGAGGGGGGGGGGGCTAGGAGCGGGAGCGGGGCTGCGCGAGAGGAGCCATCATTTTTTTTCTACCATATTATATCAATGCAATTTAGCGGTTACTTTTATCCCGAACACGCGCCAAAACTCGTGTTGTTTTGTATTAGAAGAATGCCAAGATGGCGAAAACGTCAATGATCACTAGATAATATGATGTTTCCGACAAGTAGTTATTTTCATTGAGAGAAGTTAAGACTCAAAATGCATACCTTCACCCATTCTCATTATATTACCCTTCTTGAATATTATCAAACACCTCATCAAGATGTGCTCTAGTTACAGACTGTCCATACATGGTCGTGTATTGTTTCTTCACTTAAGGAAATTATAATACTTGTTGTCACCAGGACTTACTGAATAAGAAGTTATCTGCAGTTGTTTTGTTCCTTCCGGTTCGGCTATTGCACAGGCATGGGAGACATCCTAAACACAAAGCTGTTCCATTTTGCAGGTCTTCGGAATTTGCACAGCATAAATCTCTCATTTACATTGGTTACAGACACTGGCATGAAGAAGATCTCCATGTTGAATTCACTGAAGTCAGTTAATCTTGACAATCGCCTGATAACTGATGTTGGCTTAGCAGCACTCATAGGTATATATTACATGTTACAATTGGCACATAATCCTTTGTCAACTCATTGAGTTAAAATGATACTAATGCTCAGTAGCGACGCGAGACCTGTTAGTTGCCAGTTGCTGGGGCAGTTCTGTTTTTCACTATGGCATGCTTGTTGTGGCTTTCTCTGTTGTCTCATATTTTTTTTTCGAAAAGGAGGTTATCCCCCGGCCTCTGCATCAGAATGATGCATGCAGCCATTTTATTAATAAGCACATTTTATTAATAAGCAAACAGTTCAACAAAGTCTCCCAAGTCTCAAAAAGCAAAAGGGCTCACAAAGAGCTAAAAATATGAAAACGGGATAGCCACAACCGGCAGAATAAAGATAGATAGGAAACTAAACACCTATCCTATTACATGACCGCCATCCAAACCGGTTGAAGATAGCCCGCGCTACCGTCTTCCAACGGATAGACCCAGTAACCATACGCTCCCTGGCATCCGTCGGAGTGAGTAGCGACCACATACGGATCAATGTAGTGGCCTGGAAAATAACCTGCAAGAAATGAATATGTGTTGTTCTGTTAAAAACCAAATCGTTCATGCAGTTCCATATAGCCCATAATAAAGGACATACTCCTACACGGATATGTTTCGCCATTTCTGTCTCAACTCCATTTAGCCACGTCCCAAATAACGTGTGGATGCTATTTGGAGGAGTAATGTTAAATGCTATATGAACAGACCGCCATAAAATTTTGGCCATTGGGCAATCAAGAAAGAGGTGTTTGATAGATTCATCATGATCACAGAAGTTACATCTTCGAGATCCTGTCCGGTTACGTTTTGCCAAATTATCCTTAGTGAGAATGACTTGTTTGTGGACAAACCACATGAACACTTTAATTTTTAAGGGCACTTTGACTTTCCAAATATGCACAGATCGAGGGATAGAGCCAGAGTTGATAATATCCAAATACATGGATTTTACCGAAAACACTCCATTCTTGGTTAGTTTCCGGTGCAACTGATCTGGCTGTTGAGAAAGGTGAACATCCGTCAATCTTCTCACAAGATGGAGCCAAGCTTTCCAACGGTTTCCCGCTAAAGTCTTCCTGAATTGAATATTGAGAGGATTGGACTGTAATACTGTTGCAACGTAAGCATCTCTACGCTGAACAATATTATAGAGAAGGATAATGGATAGCTAGAGGCATCTCCCCTAGCCACGTATCCTCCCAGAATCTCGTGGAAGTACCATTACCAACGATAAATTTTGTCCTATGGAAGAAGGCTGATTTCACTCTCATCGGTCCTTTCTAAAACGGCGAATCGGTTGGTCTGATCATCATCTGGGATAAGGTTTTAGAATGAAGGTACTTATTACGCAGAGTTTGTTGTCTCATATGGACCTCGTGTGCCATATGTGTTCTTTTTTGTGCTTGATATTTCATATTAGCAAGCTTGGTGGTTACATAAGATTTGTGATACAAGGAATAGCATAATTTTGCAGTATGCACTTAATCTGGTCATGAATTCTTGTTTCTGTCATTACTTGATAGAGGTTTGATCCCTGGAGGTAATACAGGTCTTACTGGGTTGACTCATCTTGACCTTTTCGGAGCTCGGGTGACTGACCATGGGACAAGCTTCTTGAGATGTAAGAGCACACCTCCACGATCATTTTCACATTGTTGTATTGGTTACGCCAGCCTACATTTGTTGCAACCACTTGTATGAACACTTGTCTGTCCGCTACTCTGCTGTGCCTAAGCTAATAGTTGAGGTTATATCAGAAACATAGAGCCAGTTATATTTCTCTTGGATCTTGCTTTTAAGCATTGTACCACCCAATTCTAAGACCATTTAGCAGAAATGTCATTCGAAATTATTTGTAACTTTCTGCACTTGAGTGCGCGACCTCACCCTCTTATCCCTGGCATGATTTATGCTGCATCAGATTTCAAGAATCTCGAGTCCCTTGAGGTATGCGGTGGGTCAATCACTGATGCTGGAGTGAAGAATATCAAGGACCTCAAAGCTCTGACGCTCCTCAACCTTTCGCAAAATGCCAAGCTGACAGACAAAACCCTGGAGCTGATTTCTGGTACTATTTCGTCCTCCCTGTCAACATGGCATCTGCTTGTACGTGCTCATTGTCTGACGGATCTGGTTTTTACAGGCTTGACCGCTTTGATCTCCTTGAATGTCTCCAACTCTCGGGTGTCCAACTCCGGTCTCCGTCACCTGAAGGCGCTGCAGAACCTGCGCTCGCTGACGCTGGATTCGTGCAGGGTGACAGCGAATGAGATGAAGAAGCTCAGGGTGACAGCGCTCCCCAATCTGATAAGTGTTCGGCCTGAGTAGTCTCCATGGCGCCCAGTACCTCCTCCTGTACATACCGCTTATCCCGCCCTCATCATGGACGTGACTGAGCGGCTGATCGGGCCCCAAGAGCGGTTCCGCAGGCCCGTGCCATGGTTTTTTTCCTGTTATTTACGCAGGTTTTCTCTCTACTGTAAGTTCTTCGTTTGAAGCGACGAAAAACCACGACTGCTATCCTATTTCTTCTTTTGTTCCATGCCGAACCACGGGCAGGAACAAAATTGTAAATATCACGCTTCCTGCCATGTGGGGTTTTTTTTTGAGAATTTTTCATTCAAATCACAAAATGACACAAAGTAGTTGATCTTTACAAGCACATTGAAACGCAAACACGAAAAACCATGAACATCTAGAGTACCTTAACACAAGCATAATACAAGAAGATCTTCACAGTCCTGTGTTATCATCTCTGAATCTTGAGAGAAGACCTTTGTAGCAGAAGGATCTGCAACCAAGCGCAAGCAAGTCGTCATCTTCGACCACGGTACAGTTGCTGTCACACTGCTTCCTTCTTTCTTGACACCAGCGCTGAGAGGGCATGAACATTAATCCAACACACCTGCAACATGCAACAGTCGCCACCATCTTTGGCTTTGAGTGCCACGAAAAATGTCCGAAAGGAAAAGAACTCGAGCGATCCGATCGGTCCAACACCGTGGCTGGGCCATCCGCCCGGACAAAGCAGGATCTCCCACCAGCATCGGCACAGAGAAAGGAGAAGAATAGCAGCAGCAAATCATACCGACAAGAAAGAAGAAGGGTCTTCGTCTCCCTGCATCCATCGCTCATCTGAGGACCCAAACGGTTAGTGCCAATGGACCTCCATCCACCATAGCCCGCGACCTCGACGAGATCCGGGGATCCCCCACCCCGCTGGCTCCTAGACGAAGGCAAAAGCCTCGCCTGACTGCGAACGGAACCTGGAGAAACTTATTCCGATGCGCCATCACCGCAAGGGCCTCGGCAGCGTCTCCGTCAACCCTAACCCTAACCCTACCACACACACCCACCAAGCGAACAGACCCGAGGTTCCCCTCCCTCCCGCCGCCGGAGCGGCCGATGGAGAGAGAGGGAACCGGCGGCGCCACCGGTGGCGCGCAAGGGAACCCTCGTCGGCTCCCTAGATCGCCTCGTGCGATCCTACTTTTCTCGCCATGTGGGGTTAGTATGTGTAATTGGGTGTTACGGATTATTTTTCACGAATACGCGCGGAGTGTATCGTTTCATTGATAGAAGGAAAGAAAGTACAGTTGCGAACCTCATAAAGTGCACACGAGGCGCTTACTAGGTCACTATGAGCAGCCCTCACATGACAAAGTCAAGTTACATGAATGATCGGACTAAGCCCTCGAGCACCGGCATTGGCCCAGGTGCGAGCTTTTCTTCTTGATGCGGTGCATCAGGAGGGATGTGGATGGTGCAACACCATCGAAGATGCAAGCGCTGCGGTGCCTCCAAATGGTCCAGGTAGTAAGTGTGATGAGAGATGTCGTGCCTTTGCGCTGGCTTGCTGGGGAGTAGTGGAGAGCATGTTGCCCACCAATCATAGAAGTCCATGATGCCATCAAGTGGTTGTGTAGTAAGGCGGCACCAGGAGAGAATGTCGTACCAAGCCGTGCGGGATATGACGCATCCGAGAAGCAGATGATGCATGGTCTCCTCCTCTTGATCGCAAAGAGCACATGCGTAGGTGTGCAGTAGGCCGTGGCGGGCTAGCCACACGGAAGTCCAGCAACGATCAAGACCGGCAAACCAGAGGAAGATCTTGATCCCCTCCGGTGCCCAGGGCTTCCAGGTGAGGCTCCAAGTAGGCGAAGTGCACATGAATGATCGAACTAAGAGCATCTACAGTCGTTCGGCCCCCAGGGGTTGAAATAGTGCCGCCCTGGGGGCGCGCCGGCTGAAAAATCGACGTGAAGGCGATCGGATTCCCAACCGCCACCCCCAGGTCGCCCCAGGCATCGATTTTGGCCCACTTTCGGCGTAAATTGGCCCACTTTTCAGCCCACTTTTCGATGCAAATTGGCCCACTGTCAGCGCAAATTGATCAATTTTGGCCCGTATTCGGCGTGCTTCGGCACAAATTCAACATAAAATATTTTTTATCGCATAGTTCATCACAGAAAATCAAATAGAAATCAAATCAAATACTTCAATACAAATTATGTAGTTCAAAAAAAGTCATATTCATCACACGTCTAGCTAGGGTTGCCCTTGAGCCTCCATACGTGCTCCATCAGATCCTGCTGCAGTTGTTGATGCACCAGTGGGTCTCGGATCTCCTGACGCATATTGAGGAAGGCAATCCAGATTGCCGGTAGGTGGTGATCAATTTGGGTAAGAGGACCCTGCCTGTAATATGGTCCAGTGTCAAACACCGGCTCTTCCTACTCGCTCTTAATGATCATATTGTGCAAGATGACACAACAAGTCATGATCTCCCACATTTGCATTGCTCGCGAGCAGGCTGGCCAGGGGGCGAGGACCATGAGATGCTCTTCGTCCTGGGCGTCGGCATCGGCTTCCTCCTCCAATAGCCCGCGAGCGCCACCTCGTCGTCCGAGTCCATCGCCGGGCAGACAAATCACCGAACACCTGGCGGGCGTGGTAGGTGTGGAGCCACTGGTATTCCGGCTCTGCGCGGTCAGAGCTCCGAAAAACTTGCCCAGGGACGGGGTGGAGGATGCCGCGTCGGAACCCTCTCTCTTTTCCGACGAGGAATAGGCTATCTAGCGGCGGTGGATGGGTGGGCGGCGCTGAGATCGGCAAGGCGGCGGGAGGGCATGAGTGCGCGGGAGGGGGGGGGGGCGAATCTGGACGTGCAAGAGGCATTTTTTGCCTGACAGTGGTGGCCCAAACGCGGTTTTCCCTTCCGCCAGAGCCCCCAAGCGCCCCCAGTGCGCTGTGTTCGGCCTGAGATCACCGGACCAAAAAAATGGGCCGAGCCGACGGATTTCGGCGTCCTGGGGGCGCGACTTGGGGTTTTTTTTCGGCGCCGGCACGAAAAAAGTCGCCCTGGGGGGCCTGTTGGGGGAGTGGCTGGAGATGCTCTAAGCCCTCGAGCACCGGCGTTGGCCCAGGTGCGAGCTTCCTTCTTGATGCCGTGCATTAGGAGGGATGTGGATGGTGCAACACCATCGAAGATGCAAGCGTTGCGGTGCCTCCAAATGGTCTCGGCAGTAAGTGCGATGAGAGATGTTGTGCCTTTGCGCTGGCTTGCTGGGGAGTCGTGGAGAGCCCGTTGCCCACCAATCATAGAAGTCCATGATGCCATCAAGTGGTTGTGTAGTAAGGAGGCACCAGGAGAGAATGTCGACGCATCCGAGAAGCAGATGATGCATGGTCTCCTCCTCTTGATCGCAAAGAGCACATGCGTAGGTGTGCGGTAGGCCATGGAGGGATAGCCACACGGAGGTCCAGCAACGATCAATACCAGCAAGTCAGAGGAAGATCTTGATCCCCTCCGGTGCCCAGGGCTTCCAGGTGAGGCTCCAAGTAGGCGAAGTCGTGGATCCATGAAAGAGTGCGAGGTAGCAGGACTTGGCAGAGTAGGCGCCACTCTCGGTCTACCTCCAACGAATGGTGTCTGGTGTATTCTGCAGTGATACCTCCTTTTTTTTGAAAAGGGGCACTTTATTACTTAAAAGATTTAAGTATTACACCTGGCCTCTGCATAACTGAGATGCACACAACTAAACAAGGTCTTCTCATACAAACAAAAAAATAACATAAAAAGGCGAAATACAAAGAAACATGTAGAATTGGTATAATGCCTAAAGCGGAGGGGGGCCAATCCTAATATCATGCTGCCACCCACGTTGGGTAAAAGTATCCCTCTTCGTAGCCTCCAATCATGTACACACCTTCGTAAATAGGTCTCGATTCTTCACACGTTGTAGAGAGAACCATAAATAAAGAGTCCAAGTACATTTGTAAATAACCTGCATGAGAGAAGTACTTTTATCGTAAAAAACCTTATCATTTCTATATAGCCAAAGCGACCAAATGACGGCAAGCGCTCCTATCCTGAGAAGAGTTCTAAACGTGTGATCAATCCCATGTAACCAGTTGCCAAATACATTAGCAACACTACAAGAAGGATACAAGCCAGAAGCTATTTGGATGACTGACCATATAGAACGAGTCAATTTGCATTGGAAGAATAAATGTTTTATTGTCTCATCATGATGACAAAAGACACACTGCAGACTTCCATGCCAATTCCTTTTAATAAGGTTATCTTTAGTAAGAATGACTCCGCGATGAAGATACCATGCAAATATTTTATTCTTAAGAGGTATCTTCATCTTCTAGATCATCTTGTTATTGTCGACATGCACATCAGACTGGATTAATGCCCTATACATAGACTTTACTGAGAATTGTCCATTTCCATGTAGGTTCCATCAAAATACATTAGACCCATCCGACAACTGCACCGTGGACAACTGCTGAAGCAGGATGTTCCACGATTGGAGTGTGCAGTAAAAACCTCCTTAGGCTATGTGCTTTCTTGAACGTCATTTTTCACTTTCCCGTAAACATTAGCTTGCTCTTGGTTACTCCAGGCTGTTCAAAATGGTTGTATAAGTTGGCCTTGAGTTATATACTATTTCCTCAGTTCCATACTTTCATATTACGTGTCGTTGACTAGGTACAAGTATGGAACAGAGAAAGTAGTAAGAGCATTTCTAAATCATCCCCCATTTTCTAACACATCCCCTATTTTTTGAGGAATTGAACTTTGGTGCGCCCAGCCCTTCAAAACATATTCCTTCAACTTTTTTCTTTTGCTAATTCTTTCCAACGTTTTGCATCATTCCAAACAAATGCATCACATTTTAACACAGACTTAGACCATTCAGATGCACCACATTATAATTCAACTATGAACATAAACATTCTTCATCCAATTCAACACCATATCATAATTCAACTATGAATATAAACATTCTTCATCCAGTTCAACAAACGACTAGGAC